ACGTCCATGATGCATGCGGCTGCCCCCCATTTTCTGTGGCCGTTTGCAAGCAGGTACGCAGCGCATCAGATCAACCTCCACCCCAGGGTCTCCAGGCCGGAGACCTCCCCAGCGCTGCTGTGGACGGGGAAGGTTGGCGATGCGTCGGCGTTCAGGGTCTGGGGATCTCGGGCGTTTGTCCGCGACTTGTCTGCGAACAAGCTGTCCCCTCGCGCTGCTCCCTGCGTCTTCCTGGGGTTCCCCCCCGACGCCCCTGGGTGGCAGTTCTACCACCCCACCTCTCGACGTGTTCTGTCCTACCAAGACGTCACGTTCGACGAGTCGGTACCCTACTACCACCTCTTCCCCTACTGCACTCCGTCCCTCCCCCCGCCCCCGCTCTTCTTGGTACCAGGTCCCCCCCCGGTAGACCCCCTCCCCCCTCAGGGTCCTGCCCCTTCAGGTGTGTCCCAGGTAGACGCGGTCGAGCCTGTCGAGGTCACTGGTGACTCTGGTGCTGCTGCGGGAGCTGAGCCTGGGGGTGCTGAGACTGGAGGTGCTACGCCTTAGGGTGCTGAGCCTGGGGGTGCGGAGTCTGGAGGTGCTGAGCCTGGGGGTGCTGTGCCTGGGGGTGCTGAGCCTGGGGGTGCTGAGCCTGGGGGTGCTGAGCCTGGGAGTGCTGAGCCTGGGGGTGCTGAGCCTGCAGGTGCTGAGACTTGGGGTGCTCCGCTTGGAGGTGCTTCGTCTCCCAGAGAGCCACTCTCCCCTCAGGAGCTACGTGAGTGGTTTGCCAGGCGCTGGAGGCGTGCTGCTGGTGCTGGAGGTTCTTCGGCTGCAGAGGGTACTGCTGCCGAGCGTTCCGGCGGTGCTCGTACTGTGGGTGCTGGAGCTGCTGGGTCTGAGGGTTCTCCTGGAGCTGGTGCTGCTGAGGGTGTTGACGCTGAGACTGCCGCTGGAGGTCCGCCTGGCGGTGCTCCTGGTAGTACTGCTGGAGGTTCTGGAGCTACTGGAGGTGCTGCTGGAGCGGGTACTCCTGCTAGGGGTACTGGTGCTGTCCCTGCTGTTTCTAGCGTCGCCGCGCGGCCCCGGCCGTACTTCGTTCCGCTCCTGCAGCAGGTTCTTGGTCTTACACCTTCTCCTGGTCCTCCTCCTCCTCCCTTAGAGGGTCCACAGCCTGTCTCGTCACAGTCACAGCTACAGCCTGCCTCACCTTTGCCTGCTCCTTCTCCCTACGCTGGTCCGACTGGAGGTCTTACTGAGCGTCGTGAGCCTGCGTCTCGTCCTGCGTCGCCTGTTCGTATTGCGCGCGCTAGTGGTCGCGGTTCGCGTCAGCGTCCTCCTCCTGTCCCTGGCACGCACCGGATGTCTCTTCGTCCGTCTACTGCTCCTCTGCGTGCCCCTTTGCCTTCTCCTCCTGCTTCCTCTCTTCTTGCTCTTGCCGACCCGGAGTCGGACTCTCTTCGTGCTGCCAGTCCTACTGTCACGCGTCTCCTTGCTACTGCTGTCACTGACCCTTCTTTCAAGTCTTGTGCTGCGTCTGCCCTTGTCACTGAGCTCGTCGACTTTGCTGCGCGCTGTCATCTAGACTACGCTGCTAGTCTTGTCGCTGAGTCTGAGTCTGCCTGTCCTCCGTCCGTCGGGGGTGAGTGTGCCCTTGGCACGGACGTCCTTGAGGACAGGCAGGAGGAGTTCCAGTGTCTGGCCGCCGCTTCACCTCATCTCGCGTCTGTACTGCTTGCCCCTGAGGGAGACCCGGATGCACTAGACATCCCGACTCCGCGCTCTTACGCGGAGGCGATAGAGGGTCCCTACTCCTCTCAGTGGCAGGCAGCTATGGATGCAGAGATGGCTTCCTGGAAGTCCACAGGCACCTACGTCGACGCTGTTCCCCCTCCTGGGGCGAACATCGTCACTGGCCTGTGGATTTTCAGGGTGAAGCGGCCGCCGGGCTCTCCGCCTGTCTTCAAGGCGCGTTACGTGGCTCGTGGCTTCAGTCAGCGGCAGGGGGTTGACTACTTTCAGACCTTCTCCCCCACCCCGAAGATGACCACTCTTCGGGTACTGCTGCACGTTGCTGCTCACCGTGACTACGAGCTGCACTCTCTCGACTTCAGCACAGCTTTCTTGCAGGGCAGCCTGCACGAGGAGATCTGGCTGCGTCGCCCACCTGGCTTCACTGGGTCTTTCCCTCCAGGTACCCAGTGGAGTCTCCGGCGTCCAGTCTACGGTCTCCGCCAGGCGCCACGTGAGTGGCACGACACACTGAGTATTACGCTGGTGGCACTTGGGTTTGCTCCTTCTACTGCCAACCCGTCGCTGTTCCTGCGCACCGACACCTCTCTGCCGCCGTTCTACATCCTCGTGTACGTCGACGACTTGGTCTTTGCCACAGCTGACACTGCTGGACTCGCCTACGTGAAGTCCGAGCTGCAGAAGAGACACACATGCACTGACCTGGGTGAACTGCGCAGCTACCTTGGCTTGCAGATCCCCCGAGACAGAGCACGCCGCACCATTACCCTGACTCAGTCACACATGGTGCAGCACGTCCTTCAGCGCTTCGGCTTCACGTACTCCTCGCCTCAGGCCACTCCTCTGCCTACTCGCCACTCGCTCTCAGCTCTGCCTTCGGATGAGTCCGTATAGTCGAGTGGCCCGTATGCAGAGCTTGTTGGCTGCCTCATGTACCTGATGACCTGCACACGACCTGACCTTGCATACCCTCTTAGCATTCTTGCACGCTATGTTACTCCTGGGAGACACCGACCAGAGCACATGGCTGCAGCGAAGAGGGTGTTGCGCTACTTGTGCAGTACGTCGGGCATGGGGCTAGTGCTTGGAGGGCGCAGTCCAGTGGTCCTCACTGGGCACGCGGACGCTTCTTGGGCTGACAACCAGGCTACGCAGCGGTCGTCACGGAGTTACACCTTCAGCCTTGGTTCCGGCTCTGTTTTGTGGCGGGCTACCCGCTTGTCTTCTGTTCTCGGCTCCAGTTGTGAGGCTGAGATCTACGCCAGGGCTATGGCTGCACAGGAGTTACGCTGGCTCACCTACCTGTTGACCGACCTTGGAGAGCCGCCTCGTTCTCCTCCAGTCCTGTACGTAGACAACAAGGCCATGCTGGCCTTGTGTCGAGAGCAGCGACTGGAGCACAGGACAAAGCACATTGCTCTCCGCTACTTTCTTGCTCGTGAGCTACAGCAGCGTGGACAGTTGCGACTTGCGTACGTGGCCTCTGAGGCCAACACTGCTGATGTCTTCACCAAGGCACTTGCGCCTTGTGATCATCAGCGTTGCTGCACGCAGTTGGGTCTTGTGCCTGTCTTGCCTCACTTGCTCACTTCTTGACCTTGCTTGTACCTCGACCTATATATACTCTTGCTCTTGCTTGCTTGACTCTTGTATATCTCTATATATGGTCTTGCATGTGAACTGGCCTTGTGGCCCTTGAACTTGTGCTCGGAATGTGTGGTGACTTTGTGATCCACCCTGAGCTTTGCTTTGTTTTGCTTGACTGGTCTTGTGACCCCTTGTTCTCCCCCACTTTGCCTATGGGGGTGTGTCAGAATATTCTAGCTTACTTATTTGTGTAGGCTATAGTGGGGTATCCCATAGGGGGTACAACCCAACTAGAGTTTCCTATTTGTACTCACTTCATTCATAGTCATTTCATTCTCGTTCTAACTTTCTCACCGAACGCTCGCCGGCCCAACCGCTTCGACTTCTACACCTGGAGACACAAGACCAGCAACAATGGAAGAGCAGGAAGCAGATAGTGGTGGATTAGAAGAAACAACCAATGTTACAAAGACTCGAGTGAGCACGTGAGGAATTCCTCGGTTGCTTTGCATCACCAGCGATAAAATCCAGTATCCTCGCATACTGATGGAGGGCCTCCCAGCTTCTGAGTGGCCTGATGCGCCATCATAGCCGCTCCAAGTCACCGATGACTCCATGCACGTTGTCGACACACACGACATTGCTGGCTTCAGCTATGACAAACTTCACACAGCTTCCACCCAAGCCTTTGCAGTAGATGTCTGCACAGATGCTTCGCTGACGAAGCGCCTACTACCGCACAACAAAAACAAGCAAAAAGAGATCATCAATATTACCGAACCATCAATATCGCGCAACCCCCGACGTCTGGCATTAGCGACTCAGTCAACCATCCCACATGAACCTCAAGAACCCTACCAAAGCTGAAGTACTCGACCTGCACGCCCTTCTCCCACCTAACGGAAACACCCTTTGACCCAAATCAGACAATCTACCGTGCACCATCTAACCCGAAGCTGCGTTAACCCACCAACTATTTCCAGAGCAGCCCCAGGATCACTGCGCTATGAACCCCTCGACAAGGTCTAGAGCGACTTCATGGTTCTTGGCAAACTTGTACTGACGACGAAGGCTACACGATGATCTTCATTGACGCCAACACTCGTTTCGTCTGGGCCATCAATATCGATCTGCGCTCATAAGCCCTCGACTCATACTCTTGATCAAGAAAGCCGAACGCCAATCTAGCCACACACTCAAGAGCTTCCAGACCGCCAAAGGGATGGAGTACTTTATCAACGAGTTTAAATATTACTTCATTACGAAAGGGATTGAGCACCTGGTCTCCCTAACCTACGCACACGAACAACAAGGAGTAGCAGATATGACAAACATGAGCCTTGCCACAAGGATGCTGGCTTACTTGAAGCAATCTGCGATACTGACAAGGTTATGGCCATTCGCTATGAACCATATTGTGTGACTGCACAATATGTTGTCATCACAAAGCCTTCTGAACAACACCTCTCCGCACAAGGCTTGGACGAGCAGATAACGTGACGCGCGACTACTCCGGATCTTCAGCTGCATGGTACTTACAAGCCCTACACTGCCCAAACCGGAAAATTAACTGATCGAGCCTACTGGGGAATACACCTCGATCTTCACAAGAATTCAAAGGATGGATCGTTTTGTCAAACTCATATGCTATAGTCTGTGTAGGCTGTAGTGGGGTACACAATATGGGGTACAAAACTTCTAGCTTTTCCAACTTGTACCCACCTGCTTGCTAGTTCATTCATTCCTCATTTCTTCACATGGTATAGAGCAGGTTCCCTAGTGGGAACGCTTCCTTGGGCCCACCACTGAAACTTTTTTTTTCTGACCGGAGCGACAGTCGCTCCTGCCCGAGGCGCGCCTTGTGGGCTGCCCTTCTGGCGACCTCTCTTAGAGGCCCCTCTCACGGCCCCTCACGCCGCCCCTAGCGGCCCCGTAGCCGCCCTTCCAGGCCCCTCGCGCCCCTAGCGGCCCCGTCACCGCCCCTACGCGGCCCCGTCGCCGCCCCTAGCGGCCCTGTCGCCGCCCCTAGCGGCCCCGTTGCCGCCTCCCTACCTACGCGGCCCCGTTGCCGCCCCTACGCGGCCTCGTAGCCGCCCCTAGCGGCCCCGTAGCCGCCCCTACGCGGCCCCGTCGCCGCCCCTAGCGGCCCCATAGCCGCTCCCCTCCCTACGCGGCCCTGTAGCCACCCCTACGCGGCCCTGTTGCCGCCCCTACGCGGCCCTGTAGCCGCCCCTAGCGGCACCGTAGCCGCCCCTACGCGGCCCCGTCGCCGCCCCTAGCGGCACCGTAGCCGCTCCCCTCCCTACGCGGCCCCGTAGCCACCCCTACGCGGCCCCGTCGCCGCCCCTAGCGGCCCCGTCGCCGCTAACCTCCCTACGCGGCCCCGTTGCCGCCCCTACGCGGCCCCGTCGCCGCCCCTACGCGGCCCCGTCGCCGCCCCTAGCGGCCCAGTAGACGCTCCCCTCCCTACACGGCCCCGTCGCCGCCCCTACGCGGCCCCGTCGCCTCCCCTACGCGGCCCCGTCGCCGCCCCTAGCGGCCCCGTCGCCGCCCCTAGCGGCCCCGTCGCCGCCCCTAGCGGCCCCGTCGCCGCTGACATTCCTACGCGGCCCCGTTGTCGTCCCTACGCGGCCTCGTTGCCGCCCCTACGCGGCCCCGTTGCCGCTCCTAGCGGCCCCGTCGCTGCTCCCCTCCCTACGCGGCCCCGTCGCCGCCCCTACGCGGCCTCGTAGCCGCCCCAACGCGGCCATGGCGCCGCCCCTAGCGGCCACGTCACCGCTCCCCTCCCTACGCGGCCCCGTCGCAGCCCCTAGCGGCCCCGTCGCCGCCCCTACCCGGCCCCGTCGCCGCCCCTAGCAGGCAGACGAGCCGCCCAGCAGAAGCAGCCGCCCCTGGAGCAGCCGCCATTACAGCAGCCGCCCCTGGAGCAGCCGCCACTGCAGCAGCCGCCCCTGGAGCAGCCGCCACTGCAGCAGCCGCCCCTGGAGCAGCCGCCACTGCAGCAATCGCCCTTGGAGCAGCCGCCACTGCAGCAGCCGCCCCTCGAACAGCCGCCACTGCAGCAGCCGCCCCTCGAACAGCCGCCACTGCAGCAGCCGCCCCTGGAGCAGCCGCCCCTGCATCAGCAGCCCCTGAAGCACCCGCCACTACAACAGCCGCCCCTGGAGCAGCCACCACTGCAGCAGCCGCCTCTAGAGCAGCCACCCCTGGAGCAGCCACCACTGCAGCAGCCGCCCCTGGAGCAGCCGCCACTGCATCAGCCGCCCCTGGAGCAGCCGCCCCTGAAGCAGCCGCCACTGCAGCAGCCGCCCCTGGAGCAGCCGAACTGCCCTGTCCGTACTGCTGTTACTGCTGCTCTTACTACTGCTGCTCTTTCTACTACTACTGCTGCTCCTGGCGTGGCCAGATGCAGCTCCAGCGTCGCCCGCGTGAGTCCCTCACCCCCCAACAGCTTCGTGAGTGGTACGCTAGTTGGGGTTGTCGGGGTGGCCGTAGTGGGAGTCGTCCTGGAGTGAGTAGTTCCGCAGCTGCTTGTAGTGGCAGGATGCAGCTCCAGCGTCCCCCGCGTGAGTCCCTCACCCCGCAACAGCTTCGTGAGTGGTACACCAGTTGGGGTTGTCGGGGTGGCAGTAGTGGGAGTCGTCTTGGAGTGGGTAGTTTGGGAGTTTCTCGTAGTGGCGTGGTGCAGCAGCAGCGTTCTCCGCGCGAAACTCTTTCACCCCAGCAGCTTCGTGAGTGGTACGCTCAAAGTGGAGGGTCGCTGAGTAGTGCTCGCTGCCCGTACGTTATTAGTACGGGTGTCCGGACTGGTCAGACTTGCGGGACGCGTAGTCACACAGAGTCCCGCTGCTTCGCGCGTCTAAGCGACGCTTGGCGTACAGAGTTTGGCGACGACGCTGAGCTCCGTGACTGGGTGGAGCTCCTTAGGTAGAGGGTAGATATCTTTGCTCTTGACTATGATGCTATTCTCACTGCAATGTATGCGTTGTCTACTAGTGCCGAGGGAGTCTATCACCTGTGTGTGCCGCCTGACCCCGGTATCCAGTCTGCTGCTCTAGGTGCTGGTGAGGCTGCTGCTCTAGGTGCTAGTGCGTCTGCTGCCCCAGGTGCTGGTGAGTCTGCCCTCTCAGATGCCACGTCGGCTCAGGCCTTACACACCTTCACCCTTGACTCGGGTGATTCCCGCTCCTTCTTTCGAGACCGCACCACTCTTACGCCGCTTAGTCGGCCGGTTGCGGTCTCCCTGGCGGACCCCTCTGGGGGTCCTGTCCTTGCTAGCTTCTCCACTGTCTTACCGTGCCCGGCAGCCCCCTCTGGCACCCTTTCTGGTCTCTACCTCCCCTCGTTCTCTACGAACTTTGTGAGTGGAGCTGATCTACAGGATAGGGGGGTTGACCAGTTCACTCCTGCGAGTCAGCGGGTGACCCACTGCACGTGTGCTCGGACAGGCCGACACTTGGCCACGTTCACCCGTTGGCCGGGGTCTCCTTGCTAGAGACCTCCCCCACCTTGCGGTGGACGGGGAAGGTTGGCGATGCGTCGGCGTTCCGGGTCTGGGGATCTCGGGCGTTTGTCCGCGACCTGTTTGCAGACAAGCTGTCCCCCCGTGCTGTTCCATGCGTCTTCCTTGGCTTCCCCCTTGACGCGCCTGGGTGGCAGTTTTACCACCCCACCTCCCGCCGCGTTCTGTCCTCCCAGGACGTCACCTTTGACGAGTCGGTGCCTTACTACCGTCTCTTCCCCTACCGCACTGCGCCCCTCCCCCCGCCGCCGCTCTTCCTTGCGCCAGGTCCACCCTCGGTAGACCCCCTCCCCCCTCAGGGTCCTGCCCCATCAGGTGTGTCCCAGGTAGACGCAGTCGAGCCTGTCGAGGTAGCTGTTGACTCGGGTGCTGCTGTAGGTGCTGAGTCTGGGGGTGGTGAGACTTGGGGTGCTGAGCCTGGGGGTGCTGGGTCTAGGGGTGCTGAGCCTGGGGGTGCGGAGCCTGGGGGTGTGGAGCCTGGGGGCGCTGGGTCTGCTCGTGTGGCCGCCGACGGTGCTTCGTCGAGGCGGGAGCCACTCTCTCCACAGAAGCTGCGTGAGTGGTTTGCCCGCCGCTGGAGACGTGCTGCTGGAGCTGGAGGTACTACTGTTGCTGCTGGTCCCGGAGGTGCTCATACTGGCGTTCCTGGAGCTGCTGGGACTGGAGGTGCTGCTGGGGCTACTGGAGTTGGTCCTGCTGGAGCTGCTGGCGGTGCTGGTGCTGCTGGAGCTGGAGCTGCTAGGGGTGTTGGCGCTGGTGTTTCTACTGGCGCTGGTGCGTCTGGGGGTGCTGCTGAGACTGCTGGAGCTGACGGTCCTACTGGAGTGGGTGCTGCTGGAGCTGGAGCTGCTAGGGGTGATGGCGCTGGCGATGCTGCTGGCGCTAGTGCTTCTGAGGGTGGTGGAGTTGGCGCTGTTGGAGCTGGAGGTACTGCTGGTGCTAGTGCTGCAACTGGGGGTACTGGTGCTGTCCTTGCTGGTTCTCGAGGCGCTGTGCGGCCGAGGCCGTACTTCGTTCCGCTCCTGGAGCATGTTCTTGGTCTCCCGCCCTCTACTGGTCCTGCTCCTCCCTTAGAGTGTCCACAGCCTGTCCAGTCGCAGTCACAGTTACAGCCCGGCTCCCCTCTACCTGCTCCTTCTCCCTACACTTGTCCTACAGGAGGTCTTGCTGAGCGTCGTGAGCCTGCGTCTCGTCCCGCGTCGCCTGTTCGTGCTGCTCGCACTAGTGGTCGTACTGCGCGTCCAAGTCCTCCTGCGGTCCCCGGCACACACCAGATGGCGCTGCGTCCTTCCACTGCTCCTTTGCGTGTCCCGTTGCCGTCTCCTCCAGAGTCCTCTCTTCCTCCTCTTGCTGACCCGGAGTCTGACTCTCGTCGTGCTGCCAGTCCTACTGTCACGCGTCTCCTGGCTACTGTTGTCACTGACCCTTCCTCTAAGTCCACTGCTGCGTCTGCCCTAGTTGCTGAGCTTGTCGACTTCGCTGCTCGCTGTCGTCTAGACTACGCTGCTAGTCTCGTTGCTGAGTCTGAGTCTGTCTGTCCTCCGTCCGTTGGGGGTGAGTGTGCTCTTAGCACGGACGTCCTTGAGGACAGGCAGGAGGAGTTCCAGTGTTTTGCTGCTGCTTTGCCTCATCTCGTGTCCACGCTGATTGCCCCTGAGGGAGACCCGGATGCACCAGACATCCCGACTCCTCGATCGTATGCTCAGGCGATCGAGGGTCCCTACTCCTCTCAGTGGCAGTCGGCCATGGACGAAGAGATGGCTTCCTGGAAGTCCACAGGCACCTACTTTGACGAGGTTCCCCCACCTGGGGCGAACATCGTCACTGGCATGTGGATCTTCAGGGTGAAGCGCCTGCCGGGTTCTCCGCCTGTCTTCAAGGCGCGTTACGTGGCTCGAGGCTTCAGTCAGCGGCAGGGAGTTGACTACTTTCAGACCTTCTCTCCCACCCCAAAGATGACCACTCTTCGGGTGCTGCTGCACATAGCCGCTCAGCGCGACTACGAACTTCACTCTCTTGACTTCAGCACGGCTTTCCTGCAGGGCAGCCTGCACAAGGAGATTTGGCTGCGCCGCCCACCTGGCTTCAGTGGGTCGTTTCCTCCTGGTACCCAGTGGAGCCTCCGGCGGCCAGTCTACGGTCTCCGCCAAGCGCCCCGTGAGTGGCACGACACACTGAGGACTACACTTGCGGCTCTTGGGTTTGCTCCTTCTACAGCCGACCCATCGCTGTTTCTACGCACCGACACCTCTTTGCCGCCGTTCTACATCCTCGTGTACGTCGACGACTTGGTCTTTGCTACTGCTGACACTGCTGGACTCGCCCACGTGAAGTCCGAGCTGCAGAAGAGACACACGTGCACAGACCTGGGTGAACTGCGCAGCTACCTTGGCTTGCAGATCACCCGGTACAGAGCACAGCACCCCATTTCCCTAACTCAGTCACACATGGTGCAGCAGGTCCTTCAGCGCTTCGACTTCACGTACTCCTCGCCTCAGGCCACTCCTCTGTCTACTCGCCACTCGCTCTCAGCTCTGCCTTCGGATGAGTCCGTAGAGCCGAGTGGCCCGTACCCAGAACTTGTTGGCTGCCTCATGTACTTGATGACCTGCACACGACCTGACCTTGCATACCCTCTTAGCATCTTGGCACACTATGTTGCTCCTGGGAGACACCGACCAGAGCACATGGCTGCAGCGAAGAGGGTGTTGCGCTACTTGTCCAGTACGTCGGGCATGGGGCTAGTGCTTGGAGGGCGACGTCGAGTGGTCCTCACAGGTCACGCTGACGCTTCTTGGGCTGACGACCAGGCTACGCAGCGGTCGTCACAGGGTTACACCTTCAGCCTTGGTTCCGGCTCTTTTTCGTGGCGGTCTACCCGCTCGTCTTCTGTTCTCGGCGCTAGCTATGAGGCCGAGATCTACGCGGGGGCCATGGCTGCACAGGAGTTACGCTGGCTCACCTACCTGCTGACTGACCTAGGAGAGGCGCCTCGTTCAGCTGTGCCTTGCTTATGTGGCCTCTGAGGCCAACACTGCTGATATCTTTACCAAGGCACTTCCGCCTGGTGATCATCAGCGTTTCTGTACGATGCTAGGTCTTGTGCCTACTTGGCCCCACTTGCTCTCTAGTTCATTCATTCCTCATTTCTTCACACGTTTTGGACTATACGGCATACGAAGTGACAATATCGCGCGACTGCATCTTTCTACATAAAGCTGATACAGCCTTTGTTCAAACAGCAATGCAAAGTTGACGAGGCTCCCACAAGCATCTTCATTGGCCACCACAACTTGGCCACGGCACAAGACGAAGCTGACGCGGCAGAGGATGCATAGGACGTCCAGCCCAACGAACATTATTCAAGCATCCCTCTTATGAACTCCAACCTTCATTATATTATCCCAACATGACATAACTCGTGAAGCCCACAACAACAACATGATAGCGTGCCCATCTTTTGATGTCGTGTTACCAGCCAACAAAAACTCAGAAAACGCTATTCGCAATCACAATAACGACGGCGATGTTATTGTAGTAATCAGGACACACAACCTGAATCGCCTTACGGTACTCATTTTTAACAAAATCTCGCATTTTTGGCCTTATCTTCGCAATTTGTCAATCCACTCACATAGAGCCTTTAACCATGCACGAAGCCTTGCACGGATTCGGCAGTGAGAAATGGCGAGAAGCCATGGATGCAGAAGTGGAAGCTCTCCGGCAGCGGCGCGAAACCTGGAAGTTGGTCCCACGCTCGGCAGCAAATGGATCTTTTGCATCATCTAGACTAATGCAGATGGTTCTATCGATACGTACAAGACCCGCTGGGTAGAGCACGGGTTCGAACAGAATCACGACGTAAACAACGATAAGTTATTCGCACATGTGAGAGTACGACGGCTTATGCCAGCTATGCTTGCTTGCCTTTACTTTATCATGCTATTTCTAGCATAGGTTAATTATATGCATGCATGAATTGCTTGATTTCCTAGGCTAGGTGCTTTCCTATATTTTTTTTATAGTTTTAGCACCGAGCTAGGTTACGTGCACCGAATTCTGGCTTTTGGTTGCCACCGAATTGCCTTCTACCGAATTCCGTAAGGATCTGTTCGGGACGCTACCCGGCCCTCGGAACCTTCGCGTAACACCTGGTTACGTGGCCTTGTGTCGAGCCTATATATAGCCTCGTGTTGTACCCAGGTGATTCATTCAATTACAATTCTCTTTCCTGAGCTCGATCCTAGATCCTCACTTTTGGTAATCAGAGCCTGTTTGCAAGCAAAGTTTTTCGACCGCTAAAACCTAGCTTTTAAAACCGCGGGGGCGACGACGGAAAGCGCCGATTTCGGGTACGTAAACCAGTTCTGCGCTCTTTTCTAATGTCCCGGTCAAACCGATTTTCGAACACTCCTCAGGTCCAGTGGCGAAAAAGTTGGAATTTCGACCGTCGGATCGATTCGAATCTCAACGGCCTCGAGAATTTCGCCCAAAAAAGTTGGAGTTTGGAGCATCAGATCGAATTTCTTCTCAACGGCCAAGATCAGACGCGAATTTCGACTAAGGGAGAAAAGTGCGACCTACACAACCAGCCCTTGTCATTTCTGCAGTCAACTCGACTCACAGTAAGATCACTAGCGCCTAAAATTCATATATTCTCGTCGCAAATCTTCCTATAAATCGCCAAATGGAGGAAAACGGTGATAATTCCGTACGGAAAATTACGGAGTTACACGCCGGCCTGGACCAGACGCGAGCGGCACTCCAGCGAATAGAGGAGCTTCTCGCGAACCAGTCGGCAGCCACCATAGTAGCAGCGAACACAGCGGCGAATGCAGCAGCGACGTCAGCAGCAGCAGCGACGACACCGACACTTAACCCAGCAGCAGCGGTAGCGGCTAGAGTGAATCTTGAGGCGGCACGTCCGAGGCTACCGGAGACGTTCAATCCGAATGCGAGAGACACTGACGTTT